TGGTGAAGGATGAAGAAGCTGGAGTGTCGAGAGGGATCGGCAATCTGAGTTTGTTTGCAGAAGATGGAGATGGACTGAATGGACAGACTGCTAGCCAGCGATGTGAGGATATGTAGAAGAGCTGTTGGAAACCGCGTGTAGGAAGGTTGATGGCGATGCTTGTTTTGGTACTGCGGTGTCGGTGGGGTGGAATGTGTGTTGAGTTATGTATCCAAGAAAGTTTTGTAGAAGGCAAGAGAGAGAGTAGAAGGCAGATGGATGCAGGAAGAAGTCTGACAGATCAAAGTAAGTATTATGATAATTATTATTATTATTATTAGGGTGGAGGGCGTTGGATGCTCTCTTTCTGTGGATGGATGGCTGGCTTTTTGTCCTCGCCAGACGAGGGTGTGCAGGAGAAGGAGGAGATTGGGAAGTGGACTGAGATCTAAATATGTGTTGTATGAGTAGGGCAGGGCCAATCTACACTCGAGTCTGCTCAGAAAAAAAAAACCAAAGACCAACCCAACAAACAGACAAACAAACATGGGCGCGACTCTGATAAACAACATCTACAAGGACAGCTAGTTCTAATAATAAGCTAACATGTAGTAGATAGATGCTATAGAGTTGAATATGGTAGAGACCAGGTCCGAAGTCAAGGGGCGGGGGAGCGGATTTGATTCTTGGCTGGATGTAATATGTATCCAGTCGAAAGGACTATCGGAACCTGATCACTAATATCATCTCAGGCACCGCCGTCTGCTTCTGTCTGGAGGGCTCAGCTAGCGAGAGAGACACTAGAAGAGCTCTCTGATTGTTGGTTATGTAAGATAGCTGACGCGTCTCAAGTCAAGCCGCCGGGAAGACTGGGCGGAGCGTTTGGCCGGGTGAGATCGGGCACACCGATGACTCAGAGAAATGTAAATAAATGTTTGGGAGATGAGGTCGGAGGGAGGTCTTCTCCATTCCCTCCTTTGTTTCTTTGACACGATCATGGACCGCGATTTGGATGTGTTTTTTTTAGAAAGAACACGAGCTCGACAACCAAGGGGAAAGTATTTATAGATATAGCTCACCTCCAAGTTACCAAAATGATACACTGGCCGTGGGGAAAAAGATTCCTCCTCAAGTCGAAGATCTATATTCCGTCTCGATGCTTACTGGTGGTAACAAGTCGAAGTGATGGATGAGTGAGGCGGATGGGACGGAAGACGAGGAGGAGTGTGGTCGAGTTGGAACTTGGCTCAGATGGCGAACCCTCAACAGGCTTTCTGGGTTGAGTGGAAGTGAGTCTAAGTTAGTTTGGATAGACAATCTTTTGATGATGGTGGCTCGGTTGATGATATTTATTTAAATATTCGTGGAGGTTCATGACACGGCTTTTTATCCAGCACGACGTTGGGAATCATCTGTTCTCGAGGATATCATAAAGCTTGTCTGGTTCTACATAAATAGATAGATATTTGTCTACAAAGAAGAACTGACTGACTTTGTGATAAGGAGTCAAGGGGAGGCAATCATCAATAACTCTCCGTCTCTTCTCGGTCCTCTCTCCTTTCTTTCTCTTCTTGTGGGATTCGGTTTTCTTGTGGTATGTGGCTCGACTTGAGACCTTTTGAAGACCGACCACTATCAGCTGATCGTCATCTACAGCAAGTGCGCCAACCCACGAGGAGAGTAATACATATAACAAGTTTGATCGACACGGAGCATTTTATTCTTAGGACTTCAGAATAGTATCTTGGCGGGGTTTATGTACATAAGGACTTCGATTGTTGTCCGACAGACTGTGGACTGTGACGGTCCAATCAAACACCCAAGACTTCCTTCCCGCCAGTCTCCACGGAGAGAAAAGTTTCAATGCCCAGTTCGCAGCCAGGCGATTCATCAGGAGGAGACACCTTCAAGTTCAACCCATGCTTGTTTGTTTGTGGGTTATGTAAACCTTCTTCTTGAGACAGAGCCAAAAAGAAGGTTTGATCTTCATGACAATACCAAACACCAAACCTAAACTCAGAGATCCTATGCAATGGCCCTTGGTTTCATCAGCGAATCATATTATCATATTAAATACCAAACATCATCATCAACCATCGAGATCCATCGGAGATCCAGAGGATGGTCTAAGAAGAGTCCAATATTGTAAACAAAGATGGGGTGTACTCAACCTGGTGTACAAATTTACAACAATGACAAACAAACAAAAGAAAAGAAAAAACGATGCAGCACCTTGGACATCCGACCAAAAACACCCAAACAATCTGAACCAAAACACCCCGAGGGGAATCCTTGCCGCCAACCTGCGCGCCAGCCATTCGTGAAGCTCTTGACTGCAGTCGAAGCTCAGATACAATAGAAGTCAGCAAGTGAAGAGGCAACGGGGGGAGAGGGGAGTTCAGGAGCTCCAGCAGACTCTAAACCACATCTTCTAAATATATGTAGACACAAACACACACCTCACATATTTATATCCAAAAGAATACTACAAACACTCGGGATAAAAAGTCGCCCCTTAGAGAAACCTTCCTCACTTTGACTTGGGTGTTGCTTTTCTAAAAAGGGTCTGTTGAACAAAGACTTGTTTAAGGGAGGGTGCATATTTGAATGCAAGATGAGGGGGGCAGATAAAGCTTGAATGTGGATCCGGACTCGTGTGCAAAAAGGTATGGACACATCCATTACCGAGGTTAGAAAAGGGGGTATTTTAGAGTACAAGAACTTAAGATGGAAGCAACATTCTGGAAATTGTCTTTTTTGATTTGCCTGTCCATCACGGGTATGTAGGTCAAAGCAAGAACAGATCCCGATGAGCTGGATTTTCATGAACAAATAAAGATTACCATTCAAGCAGAATTTTGCTTCCCATTCAAATAGGTTTGTCTTGCGCGACATGTACATTAAAATTAACAATAACGACATCAAGAAGAATCGATAGGTCTAAGATACAACAAGATATGGATGATTCCAGAAAAAGGAAAAGGAACAAGGAACAAGGAATTACTAGAGGAACCGATTGGCAGATGCCCGAGCAAAAAGAACGTTAACTCGAGCTAGCAAAGTGTCCAACGATCCAATCCCATCCTCAACGCCATCATCACCATCACCAAGATCGCCTTGCTTGTTCTTCTTTTTGCTTTTGGTATTGAGATGTTGCTGGGTTTGATGATCATCGGAACAACGGAGATCCTTCCAGTGATCCTTCAACTCGGCTTCCAATCGCGTCAGGATCCTCTCAAACTCTCCATCCAGCTCTCCGGCTTCTTGGTTGCAAGACAAGTCATGAATAATTATCTTGAGTTCTTCAATCACCACCAATTGATAGCCAATCACTCTTTTTCTTCCCTCGTTATTATCCGTTTTTCGATACACTAGAAACATTTTTTTTTTCGAAACATCGCAGGGTCTCAATTACATTTGTAAAGAAAAATGGAAAAGCTTTTAGAATTAGAATCCTAACTTACGCTTATCAATCCACCCAAATAGATCAAAAATCTCATAAACTTGCTCGGGGTGAAGTGGATGGCTGGCCGAGAATAGATTGAGGATTTTACATCGAACCACGACCCAAAGTAGATTCGCAGCCACGACAGGATTAGATTGCAATCCAGGAAGATCGAAGAGGTGATGATCTTGTATTTTTTTGAATATCCAACTCGTGGTCACTGGTTCTTCGCTCTCAACATATTCATTTTGAGGGTAAAGTGATTGCGATGTGGCCGTTGGCTGTTGTTGAAGATGCAACATGACTTCAGACCACATGATGATGCCTTTGGTTTGTTCGAGCTTGAGATTCATCTTATCCGCATGACTGATAGCTGAAACGATAGGACATAGCGCGGCATGATGATTTCCACTTTTCTATAATATAGATCTCAATCACATCAACTAACGAAGTCATATGTGGGGGTAGTTGTGACGAGATCTTACCATTAACCGTTCAGCCTGATCAAATAATTCTTCAATTTGTTTATGGACTGAAGGCGATGAATCCAAGCAGAGGGTAGGTGGGAAGAAAACCGACTGATGCCTATGGCTTTTGTGGAGCATGTTGACATTACTCAAAGCATGTTCATCGCCACTGTTTTGATTCAGGTGTTTATTTTGGTCAGTCAAGGACTTCTTTATTTTCCTGAAGCAGAGAAATAGAATCTAAGAGGGAAATCGGAGACGGACTCATGCTGAGCCTTCAATCCAAATATTTGGAAAATTGTCTGATGAATGAACCTGAACGACTGGAAGTCGGACCCATTATCTCTAATGAGATCACAAAGGCCCAAAAGAGCCTCATAGAAGTCGCCATTTTTAGCCAACTGCGAAAGGTTCGGAGAATATATGAGCTTTGGAGGAATAGAGGTGCGGCAGGAAGGTAGTGTCGAAGCAGGGCAATCATCTCACTCTTAGAGCTCGATGACAATGCACATCAGATTTTGAAATCAATTTGATTCGATCTTCGATCCAAAATTGGTTCTTATCGGATTCTTTTTCTTCGACCTCCAATGCTAAATCTTCATAAATTTCGCACAGCCCAGATTGTCCTGCGGACCGAGCACAACCAAAGGATTTGAGTTTGAAGTTCGCTATGGGTGGGATTTGGGCAGATGATATCACCTTGTAAGTCCCAGATCCTGGCTTGTATCGCAAACCATGAAACCCGGTCGAAAGAAGAACTAGTGGGCGCTGATCCTTCGGCCGAGTCTGAGTAAGATTGAACCAATCGATGAAAAAAAAGCACATTGCCTGGACGTCAGTGGGCATTTTCGATGGATCAGATATGGTCGAAGTGAGGGAATGCTTTTATCTTTCCTATCCAAACATACCTTCCGGATTGGTTATCCTCATCCGACTAGCGCGAAACAGTTTTCCATGCAAATGATTAAGAGGTTCTGCCTTGAATGTCAATTGTTTTTTTTTTTGATGGCGGGGAAAAAGTCCATTAATCTTACAGTCTCACTGAAAATCGATCATGCTGGGAGCGGTAATTGTAACAAAAAGACAGCACCAACCTTGGATAACGATTTGAAGACATAAAAGATTTCCTCATTGGAATCCCAATAAAGCCATTCATTAGCATTCAATCCAGCAGAAGCATTCGCTCGAACGTTGCCCTTTGATCCGCTCTTTTGATCAGAGTTCCCGAGGTTTCTAAGAGACTGGAGACCAGCTTGGGCTTGAATCGGTCCAGTAAGAGGCACTTGGTCTCTCTCGACCCCACCATCCTCACTTTCCAAACCGGAAAAATACAAAATTCTTCGTCGAAGGCTGTGCCGCAAAGCAAATGACAGTAAGACCCGTAGGGGTTCATTATATATGCAAAACTCAACTAATGAGGAGCTTACCAGGTACATTGATCAAGAATCGCCCGATCTCCAGCCAAGCGGGCCAACCTTGTTGCCTCCTCAAGAGCCTGAAAGTAGCATTTCAATACAATAACGGCAAGGAAGGATTGTGAAATAAAAAGCTAAATTAACTCACATCCATTGCGGTCGGATAGGCCTCAAAGGAAAAATAAAACTTTGCTAATGAGAGTAAGGCTTGTTGATGGTTTGAGCCGGATAGATGTGACCTGTGTATTTTAAACGTTTTTTTTTCGGAGTGATCGGCACGCAAATCATCAATCGGACTGGGAGCTTTTGATACGTGCTGTGAAAGTCACACCAACATTTTCGCCCCGGTATCCTTAGATAGAGTGGCTGAGACGGAAGATCTGATGTCGTAAAACTTCCGGAGTCCATTGGCGCTTTTATTAAAATCCGGGGCATAGGAATCTGTAAAACTGAACAGATGGTTGAGCAATAGTCAACCAGGTAAGGAAAACGGGGTGGAACGCGTCGAAGACTAACTCCAAGAAGGCCTGCACGATCGGATCCGCTTCCTTACCATCTATTCCGCGTGGATGGTCAAGAGGGGGAAAGAGCGAGTGATCGATCGGATGAGAATGAGGGAAACTGTGGCCAGGTGATGGGGTGGTAATAGGCTGGGCGACTCGAGATTGGAAATGGTCTGGATGAGCTCTTGTGGCCGTGCAGAAAGATTTCAACTGGCTAGCCAGGTCCGACAATTGATCGAACTCCAGTTTGGAGATGTACAGTCTGCATCTTCGGACGTATAACCCTATGGGTGAGTCTGGCTGGATTTCTAGCTCTGCCTGGGGGATTTGAAAATACATCAGTTATCTGCAATCCTTGCCTGATGATAGACCCGAAACGGAGCGCGGCTCACTTCTGATGCCGAAGGTGAGGTGAGAGTTTGGAGACCTGAATGAAAAAAAGACCAAGACCAGAATATGAATGAGACGCGATGCAGGTGGATTATGTGGTTCCCCAAGAAAGTTTACGATTTAGGAACCGATAGAGTCCATCGACCGAGAAGGAGATGCTGATGGCCTGGTTGATCGATGACAGAAGTTGGTGTAATGGTAGTCGATCGATATGTTTCGCCTTGGCCCGAATGAATTGGTAGAACTCTGCGATCGACTCGAGCTGCTGGTTCTGTTTGGTTTGAGTTCGTCTGTCAGTTCGGGTTCTCCCTCCATGTATGTAGTTCTCTCTGAAATGCTTACGTCGAATATGAGCTCGGTTGAGATGATCAGTAGTAATTCTTTTTGCTGGTTCTTGTTGGTCTTCTTGAGGTCGGCCAGGATGGTGAGGAGGGTGAGGATGGTGAGGTCGATGGGTCTGACGGTCAACAAGGGTTGACTGGGGGAACGGTTGGAGCTCATCTTTTGTATGGTCCAGTCTTGCTGTGCAGCTCCAACGCGCCCACTGCGACTATATAAGCACCCAAAGCCAGGCTCAGCTCAGTCCGCATACATATGGTCTCGGAGGATGAGTGGCCCAATCATCAACCACTATGACAAGTCGACTTTCATCGAAACAGTTCAGTATTCATACTCCCCATTCCACTTCACTTGGAAGACGAGACTGATCAAGATCCTCTCTTCACAGGACACCGGAAACAAAGTCTCAAGGAAGGCTCTCATCTCTGGATCTCAAAACATCATCCTCGGTGGCAAAACGATCATCCAACACCTCGTCATCATCAGGGGAGACCTTCGCAGGGCTGGGGTCGGTAACTCAGTCGTGATCGGGATCGGCAAGTTCTGTTTATTGAGCGAACGATCGGTCATCAGACCACCTTATAAAACATACAAGGGGTATGCAATTTATTTCACTCATCATATTAAGGAAACTAAAAGATATTAACATTTGCTCCCACTGCAGTGTGTTTTCTTACTATCCAATGAAGATCGGTGACCATGTCCACATAGGAGCAGATACTATAGTCGAAGCAGCCAGCATCGGAAACTTGGTTGAAATCGGAAAAAACTGCGTGATCGTAAGTCGACCTTTTCACACAACAGGCTTTATAGATGTTTTTTTCCCGATGGACTCATCCAATCCACCTCCATCCAGGGTCGCTTTGCGATCATCAAGGACTGCGTTAAAATCGCGGATCACACCATCATCCCACCTGGAACGGTGGTTGCTTCAATGTCGCTTTATTCCGGCTCGCCAGGTAAGTTACAATCCCTCGCTCTCTGGCACTTTGATACCAGTCATAATCACTCATCCTGTCCGGAAATATGCACTAATCGCACCACACCGTTTTATTCAGGACGGTGGCAGGCTGACCTGCCCGAAGGAACACCCGAATTGATGGAAGCTCAGAGTAAAAGCTATTACAGTCGATTCCAACCGGCTTGATTCAAACTCCATGTCATATAGTAGTTTTTATTTTTGTCCTACTTGTATATCTATCGTTTCAGAACCTCAACCATCCTCGTCTTGGACATGCTGTTGTATTGCAATCAATCCCTTGTCGATCACGAAGCCCCGATGCAGACTTTGTAATTCCAAATCCCAAAATAGTTTACTTGATGATGAAGATTAATTGATATCGAGTTCCCCCAAGCAAACCAGGTTGGAATTTGATAGAAAAAGACAACTAATACATCCATAAAGGGCAACTAATATATCAATAAAGGGCAACTAATATATCAATAAAGGGCAACTAATACATCAATACCCATGGGAAGCCAGTCATTGTACACTCTTGGTCTAAGAACCCCTCCCGGCCATCAAGATTGCACAACGTTGATGGCTGGGAGTAGTCCTTTTCATAACCTCTGTCACTGGGATGAATTCCTAACAAAGATTCAGATCATCTTCAAATCGGATAAAACTGCAGTCCATTGGAATCACAACTCAGCAGGTCTCAGTGCGTCCTGAAGATTGAACATGCTACAGACTCAGGCATTGTCAAAAAATGCAAAGTACTAAATTTTCAAATGACATTCGAAAAATTCAAATCACCTCAGTGAGATTATGCCTTGTGACGCACTGTCTGTGCAGTAAGTATTGACTAATGGGAGGGTCACATTTTTATCATCAAGGCCTTTATCATATAAAATTCAGCGGGTAATTGTACTTAATCAGTGAGATACAGCTTCCCCAGGAACCCATACCTACATACACCTAATGGTTGGGAGTAAAGTCACTGCCGAAAAGACCTTCCCAGCCCAATGCCAAAACTCTGAGGCAAGAATGTGGACAAAACATGTTTCTTCCTCCAAGCAAGGAAAAGGTGAAAGACCTTAAGGAATTGCAAGCTATTCCATCGACAGAAATCACAACATGCCCAAATTCACTCAATCTTAGTAGATTTACAGTTGTAGAACCTATATCAGCCCTATGAGCAACAAATTACATGCACTGTTGGTTTTCAAGGCCTTCAAAGATCCTGTTTATTGATACAAACTTATAAAGATCAAACAATTGGGAGAGTAAGTTGTTCACATAATTGGATGAGCTCAATCAAAATAAAACAACAGCAACGGCAAAAATGAAAGGTATTTATCGTGAGATGTTCATAAACGAGCTATGAGGGATGATGATGAGACTGGAGGCTCCTTTTAGCTTTTTGCTTGGCTTTACTCTTTTGAATATTCTTAATCTTTTTGATCTGTTGTTTAATTTTCATCTTGAGAGCTTTGAAGAAGAAAACTTGCATGGGCCACAAGGAGAAAGAGGAGGATGGACTGCTTCTAAGCTGTTCGGTGGGCAAACCGATCCAAGATGCGAGACAGAACTCGATGATCACGGCGGTGAGGTTATAACTGGTGGTCACGGAGGACTGAACGAAGATGATAATTGAGCTAGTGGAATAAGCTGATGAAAAAAGGAAAAGAAATCGGGTCTTTAATGGCCAACAATGATTACTCTGCAACATCCCCATGGAAAGAGTTGTGGCAGTCAATCACCAGCATATAGGGAGACAAAACGACGTACACAAATACGACCACCGTTGTATCGCTATCCAGCGCAAAGTTTTTGGGATACGAAGCAAAGTGTTGCAAAAGGTTTCAAATTGCTGGCTGTGAACAACAACAACAAAAAAGCTTCCATCAGGTTATGGTTGTTACGGAGAGGCACAAATATCGAGAAGCAAAAACATCAGAAATCGGCCAAAGAGATATCTACTTGACCTTTTGGATACCAAGAGTGCAGAGTTGCAAGCTGGTGGAGTGCTAACTTCAAAGTTTACACAAGCCCCTTGTTCAGAGGTCAATTGAAGGGTATGCTTCTCAATTGGAGGACTTCCCGTCGGATCTGGAACCCTCGCAGTTTCCGATTTAGACCCAAAAAGTCTAGATTTTTGCAGGGAAATCTAGCTTTTTCGGCCAGATGTTGACGGGAAGTCATCCATTCTCCCCAAGCTCAGCCAGAAAATCTGCAACTTACTCATGTCCAAACCATGCAAGATGACCTCAAGGTCCTGCTTGATACACTTCAATGATCCGGCATAGCAAAGACTAAAGGTGCTATCAGGTAGAATTGGACATACTCCATAATGATGCCAGATGGAGCTCTGTGGAAATGAATCTACAGTCCCCCCCCCACAATGGAGGACTTCCCGTCGTCCAAATCTGTAAATTTAGAAGGACATCCTAAACGTTATTTGCTGGCAAAAATTGATCGAGATCAAGTTTTCACCAGCCAATAGAGTTTAGGACCCCCTTCCAGATCAAGCGATTTGGGCGACGGGAAGTCCTCCAATGCTTACACCAGTGGAGGACTTCCCGTCGGATCTGGGGCCCTCGCAGAAGTCGGTCTAGACCCGAAAATTCTTGATTCTCGCAGAGAAATTTGAATTTCGAGCCTCTAAACCGGCTCTGGGAGAACCGCAGATGTTGACGGGAAGTCCTCCAGTGAAGACATAAATTGCAATACAAACCATGGCTTCAGAATTTTTACAAGCATTCTGTCACCGACCAACACAAGACACAATTCACAAAGTTAACAAAAGAATCAACCATGTGGGATTAGAAATTTGTTTATCAACATAAATGAGGTTGGATAATATGCCCACCATGAAATCTCTTGTTCCTAAAGATTAGTATCCATACCCCATTGAATTTTTTAAGCACATTTAGAATTACCTGATTGGGTTGGCCAATTTTCTATGCTTGGTGATTTTCATGCAGGTGTAAATATCAAAGGAAGAGAATGTTCTCTTTGATTGGAGATGCAATTGTGAGAGCAAAAAATATGTACCCAATATTTGATACAATCAAAAGTAGCCTCAATTCATCATGTAGGGTGTTCAAAATTGATTTTTGTGCCAATTTCTACAAGAGATATGATAAGAAAATATCTTCTGACACTGTATTATATTGTATCATATCTGTTTCACTGTTGCTACAGGGGGCTGAGGCAAAGTAGAGCTGGTTATCTAATGGGTAGCATACTGAAGTTCACCTGATCTCACTTGCCATCTAAGGATCATTTTTTCCTGTTTCTAGAGGCCATTTTCTTTGAAAGTTCAGCACTTGAGGATTAGAAAAAGATGAAATTGGAAATGAGATTCCAGATTTTCATAAGGAATGCAGGATTTTCTTCCTTGCACTTGATTTCAAAAAACAGGGATTGGCTGCTTGACTTGATGCTATTTGTTAGCTAGTGTTTCTCCTCACAATTTAGACTATAGATCCCAGAAATCAGGACAAAGATAATCTTGAGCTTGATTCATGCACCTTCTCTAAATCTCTTGCCAGGAGGGACTCTATATGACACAGGAGTGAATTTTGAGTTCCACCCTATGCCCACAGGATCTCTTGGGGACTTGAGGCCTACTGAGCAAAATAAAAGGCTTCAAGCTTCAAAGGCCTACCACAAAACATGTTGTTAGAGCCATAAATTTTCTGATCTTGGCCAAACTTCAAAGAGAAACACTCTCAGAATTTCTGACTGAACTTTATATGTATGCGAGTTTGTTCAAGGAGGGCCTAAAGTCAACCCCACAGAGGACAGGAACTTGGAGTAACAGTTTGAAGTAAATATGCCATACATGAAAAGGCAAGCTTAACTAGGCCTCCACAGTGGGAGCGGTAGCAATCAACAGAGCTTTCCATGCCGGTGGAGGCCTATGACTGATGTTGTCAGCTTGCTACTATTACAGAGTCAAGCTGACCTGCAATATTTCCATAAATAACTCCAGATAATAAGTAATAGATTTAATGATCAAATAATATTACAAAAAATAAGAATGACATAAAATGTCCTTTACAGAAACTAGTGACATATTAAAATACATCATGACAGGAGACTGTGGCATGAGATGAGCAGATTTCCCCTGTCAAAACTTCTGGGAAATTATACATCATCCCAGATTCTCAGAGATGACCGGTGAGGTCAACTTCCCTTTCCCTTTCCAGCTTTGGTTACTGGTACCTAAAGTATAAAAAGAACCAGTAAACAAAGCAGCTAGGAATCATCAGTTTTACCAGCTTAGTAATTTTCCCCATCCTTTTCCAGTTTGCCTCCTTTTCCAACCCTCATTCCACTACTCAGAGCACCACAGATCCACCCTGTAAGTGCCAGGATTTGTTGCTAGGGAATACCTTTATGGTTATTCCTCTGTCCATCACTCCGATACGCGGACCAAATACCCTCGAGTATCTTCGAGACCCCGTAGTAGCCGCTACCAAGTCTTTATATGAGACCTAGGCTTGTATCCCCGAGGGCACCGTAAAAACCCCCAAAGATCTGGGCCCCTCGGTATTTTCCTCTCTCATTTGCTTACCCAAACCACCCATCAGCCGACGTAGCTAGAAGGCCTATTGCCTTGGCATCGCCGAGCCTGACAACTGGGGGTCTGGCCGGGAACTCATTTCATTGATCCTAACCCGCCTCATCCTTTTGTTTAAGTCGTACCGAACCATCCTTTTTCAATTAAGACCTCTTACTAAAATAACCAATCTCTTCAAGGATTCATCAACTTGGTTCCCCAGAATGTTCAACTCCCTCAGAACCATTACCAGCAGATAACATCTCAACTTTCCTTTACCCTTTATCTTATGTACCTATTTCAAGTCTACCACTTGTCCTGAAGCGATTCCTTTTTTTTGAGACTACCAAATCTTGAGCCCCTTATTTAATGTGCTTTCCTCACGATTTATCTGTACTTGATATGACAAGACACAAAACCCACAAAACCATCCATTCTTTCGATTCTTCTCCCCTCAGCGGATTTACAATAGAACACAGGACTCATTCAATTCTGTTTTTAGTTACAAAACAAGAGTGCTCCGGACTGTAAATCTCCTTATTGAGAAGAACGACTCCAGATTGCTATACCTCACCAATAGGAAATCTACAGTCACCTATTGAGTTGATACAATCACCAAGAGTGTCTGAGCCGACAAGTCCCATTACAAACTGTTGACTCAAGTTGTCACCCATTGTACTAAACAGCCGCTCCGGCCCAACATTGACCCATGCCTTGATCTCGTCGTCCAAACCCCGCGCCTGTCTCTCAAGCCTCTATATAGCTTGCAAGACCGATTAGGATTGTCAAATGGTCCGGGCCATCTATCATTGACGACACAACTGACCGGGGCAGCGGTACAGCTTGGAGGTCCAGACCATCTTTCCACCAAGCTGC